TAACTTGCATGTATTATGATGAAATTAATCATCATATTTAATAAAAATATTTTTAAAATTTTAATAAACAAAAATATATTTTTAAAATTTTAATTAAAACAAAAATAAAATATTTTTATGAACCGGCCGGTTCTTTCCAACCCGGACCGATTCAATGGTTCACCGATTGAACCGCCGGTTCAATCCGGTTTGCTCCGATTCTATGCAAAGGTGGTTTTGAAGCTGGATTGGATCGGCCACCAGACCGGTTCACGGTTGAACCGGCCGATCTGGTCTGGTTTTCAATTATGTGTATTGGAGCTTCTTCTGCATCTCTTAACATAGCAACCAAGAATGGCTCCTTCCATTCCATCGCTATGTCGTTTGATTCTATGCATTTTGATGTGCATATATGACGATGAGTTGTGAGACTTGATCTCCAAATATTTTTCCCCATTCAAACGATGCAACATTTCTCGAGGAGTCTCAGTAGAGATTATAGAATGACATTTTCTTCTTCAACTGTTTATTATTTAACTCTACATAATTATTCAGCTTTACGCGCTTCGTGCTAATATTTTCTTAAAGATAATGTGTATGATGTGGTCTCTTATAGTGGTTCGCATGTACTTGCATATGTTGCAAATCGACCATCCCTGCTTGCAGGAAATAAGTGCTTTTGCCCAACATTGAATGGTAAGTGACTGCAAGGGTGATCTGGCATTTATTGCATATTGTGTGTTATCACCCGATCACCGTAGGTGAACTATTGTGACTTGACGAGCCTCCTATAGTTGTTTGCAAGTGATGTATGTATTTGTGTCCATAGGAGATTCATTATACACTTGATATATCCATTATTGTTATTCACAAGTTAATTCAAAGCTACATTGTTGCAACCCCATGCTCTTCAATGGATAATGCTATAATATTACAAGCCAAGTGTTGCGACTAAATTTTATAAAAATCTCAAAATCTATTAAAATTTTATTTTATCAAAGCCATTTCCTCTTAAGTGCAATTAACTAGAGAGAGAAGAGAAGGATTTTTTGAAAGAGAAAACAAAATTATGATGATTTCAATTTGTTTTTTGTTGTTGACCTAATTTTAAAAGTGTTCGAATAGAAATAAATTACATTCTATCTTGGTTTTAAAAAATATAATAATTTTAGAATTTCTTCTGATTAAAATTTTAGGTTCGTAATGTAAAAAAGAGAATAACTTTATATCAATTTACAGTGTAACTTTATATATGTTATAAATATTTATATATTTTTTTGAAAAAGTTTCACCATATAATTTATAAAGTTTCATTAAAAAATAATATTATAATACAACTAAAATTTCAAAAGTGTTCTAAATAATTTCTAATAATCTAATAAAATTTTAAAATAATGAGAATTTGCTCAATAGTTAAATATATTGCATATCAATAAAACATGATGTAAAATTTTTAAATTCAATTTTTAATATTTTTTTAATGCAATGAAATAATATATATGCTTATTTACATTAAATGTATGATTAGATGAAGTTCTCATGTTAGAGGAAGTTTTGATGTGAAATGCAAATGAAATCATAATGACCTAAATTTTTAAATATCTAATATGTGCTAAGTATTAAAAATTATAAGTCTATTTTCTAATATGTTAACATAAAAATCTATAAGAACTTAAATTCTAATATTTATTTCTAATAGAAAACATAAAAATCTAAGGGAATTTTATTTCTTTTTGCTATGACATATAAAATGCTTATTTATTTAATTTCAATGCATAATTTATTTAATTTCAATTAACTACGATTAAGATTATATTCAATACGATAATTTTCTTATAAACTATCTTTAAATTCAATTAAATACATAATATGTGAATTATTAAAAATTAATATCAATCAGTGTAGCGTAATGAGTTGTGTGAGCCACTTTATAAATAAGATAAATTTTGGTGTCATATAAATTAATCATAAAAATGATTTTGAACTATAAAAAATCAAATGAACCCTTTATAGTGGGACTTACAGTTATGAGATCATGAGATCATTTATATACGATTCTGAACTAAATCCTAAAAGCCCAACATAGGGGGATCTCCAACGAAAAACTCCATTTTTCACGTCAAAATACAACAAAACTCCAAAATGTTGTGGTCATGCTCCTATCGAACTGCATTTTAAGTACTATGAATGTAACGATCCTTCTCCCTTTCGCACATTTTTTTAGTTGAGAGAGCAAAATAGCGTAGGTGAACAGTGCAACACCAATATTGGCGTAGCACTGTTCACCCGCAAATAAATGGCGGAAGATTTGACGTTTGACTGGAGTGACCGAACGACGCCATACGCAAGTTTGGAGTTCGATTGGGAATGCTCTAAGAACTAGCAAAATTTACTCCACAAAATTGAAGATAGTCTAAATCCTTAAAAGCAAAATCGAAAAAAAAAAAAAAAAAGTTGCGCCTTGTTAATCATTATTGAATTATTGATTCAGAACAATAGACGATTTCATTCAAAATATTTTAAACTTCAAACTGAATAATACACTAAAATATATAACATATAAGCACATTTTAACAATAATGCTGCATAAAAACAGAATATTTAATCTTCAATTATTCAGTTCGGAAGGACCTGCAATGTTGAGGCAGCAATGGAGTCTAAGATCCAGGAATTTGGCACTACTTTAGCTCCACAATCTTTAGCAAGAGCTATGGCTTCAGCTTTCCTTTGGTCAAAAACTTTTGTATCCTGAGTTAGTCTTTTCTCAGGAAGCTCAACGCTGTAGACAATGAAGGTCAAGTCAGAAGGATCTCCCAATTGCTTCTTATAATCCATGGCAATTGGCCTGCGCTGTAGCACCTTTCCTCCTCCTGCTGCAATAAGATCCTGCAGATACCCTTTGTAGGAAGGCAGAAAGTCCCCAAATAAATGGAACCGGAAGCCACTGAAGAGTTTTGGCTCCTGACACCAAACAAGAGAAATTCATCAATATATGAACAAGAACCAAAGGTTGTGGCCAAGGAACCAAACCCTTAATGAAACCAGAGAAAACTTTCGGCTGTTTTTCTACAACAAGCAAGATGGAATGCTCAAGAATTCCATTATGATGAAAGCACCATTAGTCTTTTGGTTGAGTGGCATTACCTTGTTAATAATCCTCATTCTTCCATGGCGTGGTCCATTGTGTATTCCATGGACATCAACGGTTATTTCATATTTCTCTTCATCAACTGGTTTCATAGAGTTCATGCAAGCTTTGATCCCTGAGCAACGGAAAAATATTAGATTTCAATGCAAAATTCAATTGCACCTATTAGGCGTGCAAACGAGTCAAGTTTAGGCCCTTATCGAGCTCAGCTCATTAATTGAAAAGCCAGCTCAAACTCAAGCTCGAGCTCGAGTCAAGCTCAACAAGCAAACTCGAACTTGATCTTATCTCACTATTAACGAGCTCGAGCCGACTCACGAGCCATGGGCAAAAGTTTTTAAATTTAGAAGAAATTTTTAAAAATTAGGTCGGATTTTTAGCCGACTCGTGAGCTCACAAGCCAAGCCGGCTCAAGCTTGAACTTGAGCTCATTTACTAAACAAGATCAAACTCGAGCTCAAGCTCGATCGTGAGCTCGATAAGCTCGGCTCGTGAGCCCATAAAAAAGTAGAGCTCGAACCAGCTAGACTCACTTACACCCCTAGCATATTGTTATATTCTGATTTTGCCTTGAGAGTGGTGGAAATGCACTCACATTCGATGCTTAATATCCACTTTCCTTCAATAATACCCATCAGAAACTTTAATGTTCTTTTACATGCTCCATTTTCGTCAGTTGATGCAATGACATGAGTGACCACTGAACACCAGGTCTTTGATATAGATATGCCTGTTAACCTTGCAAATTGTGATAAAATTTCCTGGATAAAGATATATGGTTAACCCTTTGAAGCTAAGTTTCTTTTCTTCAAACTGATTTTTTAACAAGTTCACAAATGACATCCCTTACCTTCTCAGCTCCAGAGAGAGCAGAGGAACAAAGGACCCACTTGCAAGGCAATCCAGCAGGCCATGCCCACACGCTACTCTTATCATCAGCTGCTTTGAGCTGTGAAGGAGGCTGTACTTTTCTAAAAGTTGCATAATTTTTTTAAATCAGAAATAAATACTGTATTTGAGCAATCATATAAGTTTCTGATCAAACAAAGTATATAAACTTTTTCTTGATTAATAAAAGCGAACATACCCTTTTGATGCAGATGTCTTTCCGTTCAGCTTTTTCAGTTCAGGCATTTCACTTGGCAACTTGGATGATGAATGCAAAGGGCACAACATCACAAAGTTTTCCTGCAAATTATAATTTTGCATGAAGTTAGTGCAACTAAGACTTAGTTTGTGATGACTTTCTTTCTGCTTCTTAAAACAGTTTTAAAAGCTATTTTAAGAAGCAGAAAGAAAGTCATCCCAAACGAAGACTAAAGCATGATGAATATTTTTTTTATGATGAGTGTTGAGGTGCCTGACTTAGGATTCAATTGATGGGTGGAGCCACCCCTTCTTATATATGTTAACTATGATCTAGATTTGGTACGAGTGCGTGAGTTTGTATAACTTCACATAATTTAGATTATTTCCCCAAAAAAAGAAAACATGTAATAGATTTTATGTAAATTGATTGATCTTGCACGTTCACAAAACTTACATCATCCCAGCGGCATTCTGGAGTCTGTTTAGCACAAGGGTAGTGAAAGCTCCGACGGCAGCTCTTCTCAAAGCATCCAAGAGCTGCTCCTTTGATGCCACAGCAGCTGCAGGCTATCCTTCTACTTCTGGCTAATTCACTTGAGAGGTTGATGATTGAATCATCTTTGAAGTACACATCAGGAGCCCTTGAATGAAATGCACATCAAAATTCAATAAAATGCAATATAAATGTTTTGAAACTAAGCACAAATGCATCATTTTGTTTGCTAGTGCAACAGACCATTCTGTGCAGTTCTTGTGAGAATGAATTACATTAACACCTCCATTAAAATCTGCAGCAACAGATTTACCATCACAATAGTGCATTATCTCTCCAGAAATCTGCAAGTTTTGAATAAACACCATTAAAGTTAAATAACAAAAACAAATAAGTTATAGCAGTTTATATGATTACAATTAGAAACCTCTAAATCAATTGAAGAGTGACAGAAAGAACATCTTATTGGGGAATGGATATTTTTGCATTTTCTTAAAACTCCATTCATGGTAGAGTGAGGAAGCTCTTTACTCAATGATGAAACACAGCACTTTTGTAGATTCATACAAGTCTGATTGTCTTCTTGCATAACATTATCTGTGGAAGAATGTTGCTTTTTGTGAGAAGCCAATGCTGCTAAATCATCAACATTTTGCATATTCAGTTTTCTCTGTTTATCTTTCCTTACGACATCCCTCTGGATTTTTTGGCATACTCTGGAACGTTTCCTAAAAGAATCGTCACCTTGATTTTGCTTACAAGATAGTAATTGAAGCCTAGAATTTTCTTTCTCAAGTTCATGATTTGGTGATTTATCCTCAATAGGATTAATAGGAAGATTAGCATCAAGTGTTTTTGATTCAGCACAATCCAAAGACAATCTCTTGACCAGTTTTGGCGACTTGAATGAGACATTCTTGGTTCTTTTCGGGCACTTATTCTTCACATTCACCACAGCTTCCATTAACTTATCATGAGATAACTCTGCCAGTGTTATAGAGGTATCTTCAATAACTTGGTTTTGGATTTGTTTGGCAGACTTACCAGGAAGCTGTTTATGTACATCAGCTAATCCACTGAATTCCCTAAATCGGCTTGCCATGCAATCTCTGAGGTGAAGAATATCGGATCTATGACTCTTCTTATAAACTTTCCCTGTGTGTTTTGAATACTCCTTTTCCTGGCTTGAGTCTTCAACCATCTCATTAGAACGAAACGGATGATCTTCATTTAAGTAAATGCTAGCAGTTTCGTGGGTAGATACCTCCACTTTCTTATCTTTGTTTTGCTTATTAGATACCTCTAAATCATTTGAAGAGTGACAGAAAGCACATCTTATTGGGGAATGGATATTTTTGCATTTTCTTAAAACTCCATTCATGGTAGAGTGAGGAACCTCTTTACTCAATGATGAAACACAGCACTTTTGTAGATTCATACAAGTCAGATTGTCTTCTTGCATAACATTATCTGTGGAAGAATGTTGCTTTTTGTGAGAAGCCATTGCTGCTAAATCATCAACATTTTGCATATTCAGTTTTCTCTGTTTATCTTTCCTTACGACATCCCTCTGGATTTTTTGGCATACTCTGGAACGTTTCCTAAAAGAATCGTCACCTTGATTTTGCTTACAAGATAGTAATTGAAGCCTAGAATTTTCTTTCTCAAGTTCATGATTTGGTGATTTATCCTCAATAGGATTAATAGGAAGATTAGCATCAAGTGTTTTTGATTCAGCACAATCCAAAGACAATCTCTTGACCAGTTTTGGCGACTTGAATGAGACATTCTTGGTTCTTTTAGGGCACTTAGTCTTCACATTCACCACAGCTTCCATTAACTTATCATGAGATAACTCTGCCAGTGTTATAGAGGTATCTTCAATAACTTGGTTTTGGATTTGTTTGGCAGACTTAGCAGGAAGCTGTTTATGTACATCAACTAATCCACTGAATTCTCTAAATCGGCTTGCCATGCAATCTCTGAGGTGAAGAATATTGGATCTATGACTCTTCTTATAAACTTTCCTTGTGTGTTTTGAATACTCCTTTTCCTGGCTTGAGTCTTCAACCATCTCATTAGAACCAAACGGATGATCTTCATTTAAGGAAATGCTAGCAGTTTCGTGGGTAGATACCTCCACTTTCTTATCTTTGTTTTGCTTGCGTCTCTTCTTCAATGTTCTTTTCTTTTTGCACGTTAATTTTGTTGTTTTTTTATTCTCATCGGGATGAGATGCCTTTGAGCTTTCAAAACCTCTATAGTTGCTAATGCCAGGGGCTACTCTGCATTTATCTTCCTGAAACACGTTGAATCCTTTCCCACAGGAATTCTGCATTTCAATGCACTACTAAGCATAATTTCACTCATCTTAAAACAGTAAACAAGAGAAATAAAAAGAAATACTATTTTCAACAACTTAAATCAATACATTTTCAGCATCATCTCTACACAACATATCATAAAGAATGTGATGTTCACCTACCACCACTCCATAAATTGCGCTCTTTTAAATAGCATGTAGCATAGAATGTGTTAAAAATGTGTTGATTTGTAACTGTGTCAAATACTACTAAAAATTATTATTGAAACATCGTTACACATCTGACCAATTGTACCTGCTTCTTCAGTGGAGTTGAAAAGAGCTCAGGAGAGCAAGCCCTTTGAGTCCATTCAAACATTTCACTATCAAAAGCTTCTTGAACTGCAGATTTGCTCTGTAATTGAAGATCAACAAATTAAAGAGAGAATTTTTAAAACAAACAACTTTTTTTGATATTACGAGATTCAAACTTACTGTGGGGGTCATTTTCTTGGGAGTAATAGCATCATCAGAATCTTTGATATCACTAAAACATGGAACATTTTTGGGTGTTGATAAACTCATCATTTCTGGGGTAATCGTCCTTTCTAAATCCTCGTCCTCTTCATTTGCCTCTCTCAACCAAAAGAAGGGTTGCAATGAAGAAGGATCTCCCAGCCTTTTGTAAGCTAGATTATTATTATTCTTTAATTCTACTATATCCGTATCTTCATTGGCCAAAACTGCCAACTTATTAACCTTTTTTTGTGGTATTGGGGTCTCGGAGACCGGATATGGTGTCACATGTATTCTTTTATTGGATGAAAAAGAAGGCCTGGTTGACGGGCAAGGATTAGATGCCCCAGAATCAGCCTTCACCGGTTTCTTTCTCTTTCCTTTTGTTAACCTCTTGCCCCTTGAACTTGCTTGGGACATCATAACACTATTCAGTGCGTTAACTTTCTTATCATCAGCAACTTGAAGAGACTCTTCTGGCAAAAGGATAGTACAGGTAGATGCTTATTTGAATGCACAAAATTGTACAAATGCGGGGAATAAAAAGGACAGGGATTGAAGCTATGCATTTCCTTCAATCTCACAATGACAGATTACTAGTTACGTATTTACACTTGTAGATAATCAACTAAAGGTAAAATAGAATGTTACCAGAATTTTTGGGAGGGGCAACTTGAGATGTAAATATATTTAATCCTGAAGCAGCTTCCATGCTTTTGTAAATACTTACTAAGTTATCCATATGCGGCGCTGGTCGTACCTCTGAAATAAAGAAAAAATTACATCTACTTAGTACATAAAAACTGCAACTTGAAGTTAAGTTTACAACTTGAAGCAAGCTGAGAAAAATATATCCCCCTTCCCCTTCTTTTAATTTTGGGTAAAGCATTTCGTCCATTCTCACTTGAAATCTTAATTCAACCAGTGCATTTAAATGATTAAACGAGCATCATAATAAGTTTCATATTTTTAGAACTATCTGATATTAATAAGTATATAAAATTTGTGAAAAAGTATCTAGGCAAACACATAGTGAAAAGATTCCTGTTGTACCTCTGCGCCGAAATGGTATTTTGCATACTGGACAATTCGGGACAGACCTCATAGATTCCACAATGCATGAGCTGAACAGAGAAAAAAAGTCATCGTTCACCAAAACTACATAATTAAGGAAATGGTACAAGTTTTAGACGCATACCTGCAGAATACATGATTGCAGGAAAGCGTAACTGAAGATTTCAGAAGGCTCAAGCTGCAAAATAGTCGAGCAAACAATCAAATGCGTCGCCATGGTGTGAAATTGTAACTGTTTCTTATCATTCATCAGGTTATATGGGAGAGGATATGTGGTCATGTGAGTATCTCCACAAAGGGAAATCAAAAGATTATCAAATGGTAACCGAGAAATAATGCTGCCGCATTCTTTATTGCAACAACTTGATATCATACATTTGTGAGTAAAACGAAATGACCATGAGCAAATTAAAAGCATTTCAAAAGAGTGTAGCAGGATTGTAATTCAAAATAGTGACCTAATTATCAAGTTCCCTTTACTAAAAGCAAACTTCGGTAGATAAACCAAAATTGAATGTTAACTAAATGATAATTGTATGAAGAACATAATGTTCGATAGCCTCATTCAAGGAGGTGGAAGAGGAGGGATAATGAAAGATATCGGATAAAGAAAGAGAAAGAGGTTTATGTTGTACCAGATAGGGCACTTAAGTTCTCTTCCCATCTTCTCCAAGTGAGCGAAATCCATCATGTTCGACTTCTGAGGAACCCCTAAGCTAGAGATGAACAAATCCAACTAAAAATCCACCTAGAGATCGTTCGCCTGAAACGAATGGATCAGAGGGGCCAAAGAATATCTAGTAAGAAGAAGGCGAGATGCGAGAGCTTGAAAGGTTTCGACTTTCGATATCCAAATGAGATAACTTGGTGAGGAAGGGCCCAAGAAATCTATTTCAAGAAATTTCGCGGGAGTTTTCTCCCTTTCGGAAATTTGGGCGGTAAATCTCCCTCTTCCAAAGTTCGAACCTCTTTCCTTGTTTCGTAAGGAACAGCGGATGTCGGTTCGACTGAAGTCTGAAGCTAGGGTAATTACTGTGCGGTACTTGAATCACAGTATATATAAAAGATTAAAAAAAATTAATTTTGATCATTAATTGAATGATGTTTAAATATTGATGTAACGTGGCTTGAAGATGTTTAGGCCATCGCTCATAGATTTTTTTTTTTTTTTATCGCTCATAGATAATTTGTAGGATTGTCAATATTTGACACGATTTGAAAATTTGATTGTAACCTAACCCAATTTTTTTGGTTAGGATCAACCTAATTGAAAAATGGATTGGATTTGGACCTAATTTTTTACTTATTTAAGATTTCGATTAAGGTTTGGGTCAACCCGATTGACCCGAAATTGAACACATGGTCCTCACGCACAGGATTTACTAAATATTGATGTAGGGCTTCACCACTTTATGCTTCAGCAGTTGAACGCTTCTTAATTCTTATTTCTTGTGTTAGGGCATATCGGCCTTAACACAAATGCATCAGCCTGTCTGCAAGCAGCAACATTGTATATATTGTAAGGATGAGGAGTCCTTTGTGAACAAATGAAAGATGATATATGAATGAATGCAACTCACCTGGTAGTCACACACTAGTATGCAGATGGATACACCAAATCATATGTAAACAACAAAGCCCCTTGTAAACATACACAATGCAACATACGATGAATGCAAATATTTTTTAGCAATTATTGAAGATTAACCATATGCAAAATAGTATGCATACAAGTGGTAACCAGCAACATGCAATGAATGCTATGACATCCCTATAATCAACAGTGATTTAGTGTTAAGCAAAGGCAATAATTTTCCCGCAAGCAAAGGTGGTCGATACGCAACAAATACGAGAACCTACGAGTAGCACTAAAAGATTTGCATTCAGTGCAGCTCACCCGCAGATAACAATAGAAGGCTTGTAATGCACACAACGGTCTACATACAAGCAAGGATTGGATAATTTGTGGATTCGATCTCTCTAAGGGAGATAAGAGTGTTATAGAAGAAGCTTGAAATTGTTAAGGTATTAGCTCTGAAGTTATCAATTGTTCTTTGCCAAACATTATTCCTTAATGTTTTGGCTACAAATGATATGCAAATGCTGTATGAAAATGTTGCAATTCGCCTGTAAGAAAAGTTGGGAATCAACAGTAAACACTACAGTCAATGATAAATTGAGGCGATACATGTGTGATGACAAAGGTGTCACACTGGATAAATCATTTTGCTTGCAAGAAACAGGTGGAAGGTTCCCGACACACCACACATCTCATTTTTCGGTTGGAAGATACTCATGCAAACTGAATGCCAAAAGAAATGACAACATGCAAAAGATAAAATGAGCATAACACGTTGTTGATGCACAACAAATGAAACCCAATGTGTTGCTAAACACACCCATTAGATCCACAACAATCATACTAGTGTACATAAGGCATCTATAGGCTTCTAAATATAATATTGCACACACTCAAATGACAATCACTCGCACATGTGATTAGTGTCAAAGACTTTAAAATGCCTTATCACATGCATTTGTAATAAGCTGAGGGTTTCATTCAAGCATGCTATTTAGCATTGCATTTACATGCAAAGATGTCGCACATGCACAACCGATTAGCATCAAAGATTATAAAATACCCTCTCACATGTATTTGCAATAAGTAGAGGGTTTCATTGAAGTATGTAATTCAACATTACATTTACATGCAAAGATATCGCACATGTACAACCGATTAGTATCGAAGATTTTAAAATGCCTTACCACATTTATTTGTACTAAACAAAGGGCTTCATTCAAGCACCTTGTTCACTATTGCATTTACATGCAAAAATATCACATGTAACAACTAAATGATATACCTACTGCACTACATACATATAACCGCTACACAAATACACCAAGCAAAATGCATGTAAAGAATACTTTTGTTTGGGCCCCAACAAGTGTGATATATGCATATACGTGATGTCTGAGAATGCTATGCGGCTCAAAAAATAAATTTAATTCCAAGCCTAATCCTTCCATATGAATAGGTAGGAGTTAACACGGCTCAAACAATCAAATAAATATACGGTCGTGTCATCAACGGGGATATTTATTTTATACATTCATATTGGGCCTTCAAAGTCTATAATTAAAAAAATTCATTAATAAAGGCATTAAGCCGACAACGAACCCGATCCTCTGCCATCAAGTTGAAAGAGTCGACATGTTCAACTAATAAAATGAAAAAATGCCAATAAGAACCAGGATGATGGCTGCACTAATAAAAAATCTTAATCGAAGGGGACCCCAAACATGCAAAATGCTTCCAAATTTTCATAAAAATTCAAAACTCAAAAATCATTGAAACCCAATATATTTAAAATTGAAATAAAACACCTAAACACTTAAAGCAAAAATACTCATCCACCATCTGCAACAGTTTGTCAAGGTAAACAAGTTAGAAAATCATTTCAGCTCATAAAGAGCAAATGTATAGTCAATTTTATCACTAAGATTTATTCTCAAATCGTCCATTGCCAGTAAGGAGATTGCACGTGTCCTCTAACCGATGATTTTTGCAGCCAAATGACACCACATGTAAAGGGTTATGATTGGGACTCTCTCACAGGGTGATTTTTACACCAAATGACACTATTAAATTATGGTCATGGTTAGAGCCCTTTATGTTATGTTCTGCAATGACTTCAAATCGTTGAGTAATGAATTAATAGGATATAATTGATATGACATAAAATCCTCTATTAATTAAGGTGGATTCAAATTTATAATCTGTGATAAATATTCACCATAGGTTTATAAGATACCCTTGGACAAAACAATCAAAGGCTGCCGACAAGGATCATTCTATTAGGTTGGATCAACTACCTCCTCTGACTAAGCAAACCAGGGATTACAATGGCCATAATGACATAATAATGTGATCTTGATCGGGTCTATCATCATTCCCCCTACCATCCACTTTAAGTGCAACGTGATGAATTTCTAATTTTAAGTATTAAATTTTCAAATACCTAAATCATGCATCTACTATACATCAAATAGTATGTATTTGTTTGATAACTAGCCTTAATCAAAAGTTATCTCTCATTATCGGGAGGGGTAATTAATTATAGGGGTTTGCGTCTATAGGAAACTCGAACTCATATCATAAATCTTCGCAAAATGAGGATGAAATCTCTAAGTAACATCTTATTCAAAACCCAATCTGCCTTTTAAAAAATTTCGTAGTAAGATACTCGTTAAAACTCTCATCAACGACTTGATAAAAAAGGAAAGGGGCACAGAGAGGCCAAGGTAGGAATTTTCGGAGCCCACACACGTCTTCATAAAATCTTCCTTCTCTCCATTGACATATATATGTGCGACATCAGGCCACTTGGCAAAGCCTTCTTCTTATGTGCTTTTATAAAATGGAGACTATTGATACATAGAAAAATCAAAGTATTCATCTAACACAATTATGTTAAAACCATAATGTAATAACTCATAACTAGCAAAATTAGAGCATATATTTACATATATATCAAACTCTGAACTAATCCTAAATGAGGTGATGCAATGAAAAAATAATCTTTTAACCACCATTAATAATGATTGAAATATTTTAGATCATATTTAAACCATCTTCAATCATGATCTACCCATCTTAGATAGATCTTTATATTGTCATCAACCCATAATTGAGCAATCTTCAAATATTTTTGAACTTTCCTCAAACCTTTTTTGATCAAGATCAAATAGTTTTTAAAGAAGGGACAAATTAAATTTGAAAAAGGTTTGACCATTCCTTAACGATTGCTTGAAGAATGCTCATTCTTAATTGTGGGTTGAATATCATATGGCCCATCAAAGATGGGTTGAAGATGTGTCTATCATTTTAAAATATAGAGCAAGGAACATTAAAATAGTACTTGATCAAGATTTGAAGATTGCTTAGATTTTTAGAAGATTGCTCTAAAATAACAATACCATATAAAGTAAAATTGACACTAATGGTGCTAGCGGAGTGGGTCACTTTGCAAATTTACGATTGGCTAAGGATACACAATCTATAATCATCGAAAATTGAAAAGGTGATGCGATGAAAAGGGGTCGAGGAGCCACACGACCAAAAAGTAGTATAACTATTCATTGCGAGTTCTGTTTCTATTAGGTAACATACGAGAGTAATTTGGTCATGAAGAAACTTTTGGTATGAGTGTCAATAAATAAAGCGACATGGATTTGACTTAAAAACGTTTAGGTTATGATTGATTCAATTAAATTTTGGGATGAATTCATGTTTGAAATATTGACCCAATGTATATTGGAATGGGTTCATATGGATCTACAAATTTGAAATTGATTCTAAATCTACTTGCATACTATTCAGTTTTGGGTTAAACTTGTCAGTTTATGATTAAAAAGGTCACTTATAGGTTAACATAATCATGTTTGAATTAAATGAGCTATATTTGGGTCAATTTTTTGTGTCATATAATAAGTGGGTTAGTTTTGGGTCAAGTATACTCAGCTCGAGTCAACTTAGCCTCATCACAAACTTGATACGTGAACTCAAATTGATACACCTATTTTTGAACATATTTTCTTATGAAAACAAATGGTGAACATATTGATTCAATTTTCATTATGATGCCCTATACAAAAGTCGAAATTCTCTAATGAAATTAGAGGATATGAAAGTTAGAATATTGAAATATTTATCCATTAATACTTAATTTGAAAATGTAACTCTTATACTAATTCATTTAATAATATAAATACATCACTATTTATTCAAGTGAATAGTTTCCTCACCCACCGATGCTTAGCTTGGTTGGTGGGCGAGTGCGGTTGAAAACCCCCCAACCCGTGCTCATTTCCCTCGGGCGGCAGCGCCCCTCTAGGGGGGACCCAATAAGCGCAGGCCACGAGTAGTAATAGGTGTGGGTTGCTCGTCTAGGTTAGCCGAGGAGACTAGTGGACATCGTCAAGCGCGTCACAAGCTGACGTGGCAACGGGCCGATACTCCCCGTTCCAAAAATAAAAGATATCTATGTTGCTCTTTTGACTTATAATGTTCTATGTCAATACAAATAAGAGTCATGCAGGTAATTCAGAAGTAGAGATATATTTACATGCCTAAATATCAAATACTTAAATTTTTTATATTGATTTTTGTAAGATACAAATTTTCATATCAATAAAAATATCTTTACTATAACTTATTTAAAATAAAAATGGTCTTTTCATACATTTAAATACTAAATGACATAAAAATAAATATAAAAGTTTTGTTAATACATAAAACGTTTAGATTGTGATTGATTCAATTAAATTTTGGGATGAATTCATGTTTGAAATATTGATCCAATGTATATTGGAATGGGTTCAAATGGATCTACAAATTTGAATTTCATTCTAAATTTACTTTCATACTATCTAGTTTTGGGTTAAACTTGTTAGTTTATGGTTAAAAGAGTCACTTTTAGGTTAACATAATCATGTTCGAATTAAATGAGCTGTGTTTGGGTCAATTTTTTGTGTCATATAATAAGTGAGTTAGTTTTGGGTCACGTATACTCAGGTCGAGTCAACTTCACCTCATTACAAACTTGACACACCAACTCAAATTAATACACCTAATTTTGGGCATATTTTCTTATGAAAACAAATAGTGAATATGTTGATTCAATTTTCATTATGATGTCGTATCCAAAAGTCAAAATTCTCTAATAAAATTAGAGCATATGAAAATTAGAATATTGAAATATTTATCCATTAGTATTTAATTTGAAAATATAACTCCTATACTAATTCATTTAATAAGATAAATACATCACTATTTATTCAAGTGAATAGTTTCATCAAAAAGGAAAAAAAATAGGTCAGCATCGATTTTTAAATTATCAAATTTAAAATTAAAGATGAGTGTAATATAAGATCCGATCCAACAAATGTATGGACAAGGAGATAGAAAGTTGCACATATTAATTCCACTGCAAAACCTATTTTTAAATCTCAACCTAAAAAAAGAAGCTGTCGAAGCTTCTTTGGTTTTCTTTGTAGGAAATATAGCTAATCAAAATTTGAGAATGCTAGAGTTTGTGATACAAATTATGATTTTATTTCGGACATTTGTTTTTATTGATATCAAGCAATTTTTATACTAAAAAGCTGCTTAAAAGTTGTCCCAAACGATACTTGTTGGCTAAAGTGAACTTTGCACTTTTATAAGGCTAGGAGAATGTTTTTTAAAGTCAAAATATCCAACATTTCCACATATACAGGTGGGATGACATGTACTGACATACCAACTAATTTTAAGACTTTTCATTTGCATGTGCTTACCAGAAGCTATGCCAGACAACCTAAGAATCATTTCACAAATATTAGGAGGTACAAATACTGGGGTGTCAATATTTTACACGACTCAAAATCTGACTTAAACTAGACCCTAAAATTTCAGATTAGGGTCAACATGTTTTATGAAACAGGTCGGATTCAACAAATCAACTCGTTTAAAAAATCGAGTGGGGTTTGAGTTGACCATAAAACCTAGGAATGACCCAGCAAAAATGCATCTACCTGCGTCGCGTTGCCCACGTCTACCAGCATTGCGTGACCGTGTGCCTGCGTCTACCCGCATTGCTGCCGCGTTGGCCGTTGCCTTGCCGCTGTCATGTCGTCTACCTTATGAGATTTGGCTGAACCGTTAAATAAGTGCGCGAACGGAGGGCCGCCGATGTTGACCCGAACAGAGGGCCGATGACATTTCAAGAATCGAGTCAGGTCGGGTTGACCCGAACCCCAAGCGGATCGAGTTCGTTTCCCAAAATTTGACCCATTTCAAAAATGAGTCGGATAGAATAATGATGTTTAGTTCCGAGTTGGACCCAAACCTAACCCGTAAATCAATTTTGACAGTACTACCAAATACTAAAATTTCCTTTGGGACAGCTTTCTTAGTCCTTTCAAAAGCAAAATTTTAATATACAATTGTTTTTAATAAAAAGTTATTTTTAAAAACAGTAAAAAGTTGTCCCAAACAAAACCTAATATTAAAAAAAAAAACATATCAAAAGAAATCACATATTAAGTCTCAAGGAATATTGTTCACCCTTCCTATAAACAAATATATTATAAAGAACAACATGATATGTTTAAATACATTTTTTGACATATCAATTACAAGTCAAGTTACTTATATGCATTAGTTGGAATAAGAAACAAACAGTAAAACAGAAATAATAACAAGTATTCCAGAATCAAATTTAAAGTTTTTGCCCTCATGAAAGTTCAACAATCTCAACCAAGACCCAAAGTTTCCAAATTTCATACCAACTAACAACCACTTGTATAACCAAAACAAACAACCACATCAACCACCACACAAATCATTCCAAACCATCAGCTACATACTGAGCAAAAAATGAAAAATTGTAACATAAGCAAAAGAGTCAAGCCACTTCAGCCAGAAATGTAAACAATACAACACACACTAAACCTGATAAACAGCCTTACATTATAACTTACATAACCTAGCTAAACAATCCTAAAATCCAAACTTTTGAACACCAACTATTTACATCAGACAGATGATGTTCTCGATACGTTAGTCTTCTCATCCTCGTAGTTCTCAACAACATCATCCGGTTTCTCTGGTTTCAGACAAGGAGGAATATATGCAGCATAGACAGAATCCAAATTGGGTGTTTCCTTTGTATCCTTATATGCAGTCTCCAAAGGGGTATTGAAGAATGATTGATAGAAGCGCTTGTTACATGTGTAAGCAAAGATGAATGATAGTATGATAAGAGGGATCATTAAAGGAGCATAGTAGAATTTCTTCAAACCCAAATAGCCAAACATCAATACTTGGAAGATGATTAAAGAAGCGACGATTCGGGAATGTATGTGAGGCCACATCCGCCCGTAGCTCTCATATGAAGGGACATAGACATTCAGTGCCTGAAAGGAGAGAAACAATAAAATATTATATTGAAGATTTAGTTTGACCAGCTTCTTTGAGCAGAAGTTAAAAGGAATCTATTAGATCAACAAAAAAGTTGGTTCGAATATTTAATTTTGTGCTGTAAAAATTTCATACCAAAAATGGCTTAAAAAACATTAGAATAATCTTTTTTCTCAGCGTCCAATTCATTTTTTATTGAATATGCAGACAACTCATAGATCATATACCCACCTAATTTAGCTATAGATTTGAACAGATTTAGGTTTTTTTGGGACAGTTTTTTTGCTGCTTTCTAAATCAGCTTTCTATTACAAAAATTTATGATTTAGAAAGCAGCAAAAAAACTGTCTTAGAAATCAGCAAAAAAACTGTCCCAAATGAAGCCTAAATTTGAATATTCCAAAACCAAACCCTAATATTTGAACAACGGGAGCAGACAATACAAACCCCCCTTCATCATCATCATCATCATCATCATCACCAGCCTAACCCAATTATTAGGATCATTTTGATGCATCCACAATTCATTCATGGCATATTTCTGCATGAGATGCTAATTCTATTTGTTTAGCAAGTTTTCTACCAACAACATCTAGCAACTAATCAACGTTCTAATCCTTACCAAATGCATCTATTTAGTTTTATCATTATTCTTTAGTGCACATCTTCTACCCACTATCATACATGCCCAAACCTCCAAAGTCTAATTTTCATTATATAATATTTAATAAGTGATACTTCCCTAATTTCTCTAACATAAGGACTACACACTTAATCCTTCCTACTATTAAGATACTACTTCGAAAATTATATATGATGCATTGTTCTTCAAAGTCTAAACCACAAATGTTATTAAGAATAAAATCTTAATCTTTATTAAAATTAAAGCTTCTTCTTGTCCTTTAACTCTAGTCGCTCTCTCCTAATATCTGATTATTCTCTCCCTTTGCCCCACTCAAGATCATTTACCATCTATCACCTAATTTATAGACGATAAGACTTCCAAATTGGTGAACCCCTAGCATGATTGCTTGGTTTTAAAGATATTGTGAGAGTACAATATGTGAGAGAAGGGCAGTAAAGAAGTAATTTAATTGGTTTCGTATACAAAATAAGGGGCACAGCTGATATGCAAAGAAGATTTATATTAAAACATTGGAAGTTATTCAGAATTGGCCAGAGCCATTAGTAATTATGATATGGCGTACCTGATTGCGTGCAATAAGCCACCCAAGGCCAAAGTACACAGCACCAAAGGGAATGATTATAGGAGATATTACAGAATAGCAAAAAACCACCATCATGATAAGCATGTTGCTTGGAACTCTAGTAGCATAACCAAAGTCTCCAGGAGCCCAAGCTTCCTTTACTTCAGCTTCAGTTTTACACAAATATTTCTTCTTAAGATGGAATATGATCAGAGGGACCAGACGTGAAAGCTCAAGGCCATACCCTACAAAGAATCTGCAGCACAGGAACATATAGAATCAAATAATACATAAAACTAGTTATATATTATACTTCATGTACTTGAAAAATAACGGTTTAGGGTATTTCATGATCTCGAATATTACATGATCATAAATGCTTGGCAGAGGTGAAGAATAGCTAAAAGCACAACAAGTACATATAGGCCTAAATAGGACTAAGTCTTCGTTCGGGATGGCTTTTTTACTGCTTCATAAAACAGGTTTTTAGTACAAAAATTAAAAAATTTATACTAAAAAGCTGCTTTAAGAAGCAGAAAGAAAGCCGTCCCAAATGAAACCTCAAATGCCTTGGAGTAACATGAGCAAGGTTATGCAGAATGTAAAATGGCCAGAGCATAAAGAGGACTAGGATGCCAAGAATCTAGAAGCTAGAAGGTATTAGAGGATCAGAACTCTTTAAACATACTTTCAACTAAGATGTAAAAAGAAGGGCAAAGCCAGTACATAAACCTTCCCCGTCAATATTGTGTCTGTCTGAGGAAGTATTAATGTACATAACCCTTACCCCTACATTGTACCAACGTTGTTTCCTTCGAAGGGAAAATATATAAATTTCAAACATAAATGAAGAGGGAAAGATATCTTACTGCAGTGCAACATATGTCACGAAAAAGGTTGCATTTGGTGGCAAGCTGTCTGCCAATAGATTCACAATTTTCTTAGGTGTCTTGGTTATGATCTTCAAAGATGCAAACAATGTCCCTCCTATAGTAACTCCAAGAAAGACATTAAATACAATGAAATAGAAGTACTTTCCAGAAGCTGCCCTGATCACATGGCCCTGAGAAGGGATACCTTCTGCCTTGGACAGGAATAAAAGAAGAGCTGGTAGCAATGCTAAGAATATAATAAGGGCAAGCTGAGGAAGATAAGCTTCCAAGATTGTCTTAACTGCTTTCTGGTTAATAATTACCTTCAGGAAGGGAAGATATTTCCTTAAGTTCTGTAAGGTTGTAAAAGCAGATATTGCTGCTATCGGAATCATGTAAAAAACTACTGTCAGAAAAACAATACCATACACAACATACTGCCATATCTGCCTCTCAAAAAACTTTTTAGTTAAATTTTTCCAAATCAACTGTCGCGGTTCAGGTGCTTCTGTAACAGTCCAAGTATCCACCATTTGAGCATGAAGAGTCTGGGAGGCCGAAACCGCAGCTGCTCTACTGGTGAAGAAAACCAAAGCTGCAGCTTGCTGTTTATCCTTGAGCGTCTCTTTCTGTTCAATCTCTAATTTTGCGGCTAACTCATTTATCTTCTCATTGCAGTAGTTGATGGTGTCCACCTTTTCACCAATAAGACCAAGGAAGCCAGTTTTGTTGTTTGGCCTAGTTCCCTCTGGATTACTTGTGGTTTTAGATTCTGCAAAAACCACATCTGCCCTTGCAAGTTTCTTTTTGTAACCTTCCAGCTCTTCCCATATTTTATTTGCCTAAAGAACAAAAGTTCTAAGATGATCAATCCTCCAATTTCAGGAATTTATGGTAATAGCACAATATTATAAACCAGTTATAATAACCAGCAGTGATTACCTGTTTATTGTCAGTGACCACCATCGACTTGTAGAATGTATCTGGATGGAGTGCTCTAAAATAGGAGTCTACCTGTTCTTTCCGGCTTTGACCTTGAAGATCTGCAGGAATATCCCTCACTAATACCGCATAATCCTCAGGCCTCACTGCTTGACTTGATCTGGTTGCTGCTCTTAGATCAGAAACATGCTTATAAGATTTCCATAACACATAGAAAGTCACGAACGAGACCCAGTAGTTAGCTAGAAGAAAAGCCCACAATCTTGAACTTTTGGCCTGTAAGGTTTAGTGAAACACAGAATTATGGTAACAAAAATGAAAGGAGATATTCCAATGAAACCTAAATGACCTTCCCTTATACGGGAATTCTTGATAAAATCTTCTCGGTAAAAGTTTATAAAAAAATGGCTTCTATTTGTAAAATGAGATCAAAAATAAATTTTAAGACAGATGTGAACAGCTAATAAAGTTTTATGATTTATGCCTACAAAAACTATAGCTAACCGCTGCTTATTCAAGAGATACATGAAAATGATATTCTAATAATGGAAGAAAAAAGTTGTTTTATTGCTTCAGAGCAAATGAGAAGAACATTGATCCAAGCTTTTTTTGGCTACAAGATTCCAATTAAGCTCAAAGGTTCAGAGGTCAAATTTCCTGGCATGTCCAGAAGACTTCACCTAGAAAAATCTTTTTCATGTGCCCAAAGTTCATTGATCTTATACCAATAAGTCCTTTTTAGAAATGGGAGTTCACATCATACAGAATATATTTTACTACTTCAAGGCTTCATGTTACATAACACTGCCGTTGCCAGGTCCCAAGTCCTGGATGAGAAAAGTGGAGGGTTGTGTTAAGTAGTCGACAGCCAGCGTAAAACTTGTCGAATAATAATGACATGAATTCTTTAAGAAATTGTGTTAATGCTAGGGCATCTCCTAGAAGCGACACGCTGTATGGCCTGAATACAGTGACAAGTGTGCAAGGGCCGCTGCACCGGCGCCCGAGTGCAGTGTTAAATAGGCAAGAGTTCCCATATCAAGGACGGATATGGGCAAAGAAGCTAGTCCATGAAACTAAAATTAGGATAGGAATTTGGAATATCGGTTCTCTTACAGAAAAATTAATGGAATTAATAGATATTATGATTCATAGGAAGTTAAATATTTTGTGCATTCAGGAAATTAAATGGGTTGGAGAGAAGGCTAAGGAAATTGATAGTTTAGGATTTAAACTTTGGTATTCGAGTAGAAGTCGTACTAGAAATGGTGTAGGTGTTATTATAGATAAGAGTTTAAAGGATAATGTTATAAAAATTAATAGGATTGGAGATAGAATTATAGCTTTAAAGATTGTTGTTATGATAAGATTGTTAATATTATAAGTGCTTATGCTACTCAAGTAGGTTTGGATATGAGTTCTAAATTAAATTTTTGGAATGACTTAGAAAAATTAATACAAAAGATATCTCTTTGAGAAAGATTTTTTATTGGAGGAGATTTAAATGGACATGTTGGTAGAGAGGTAGATGATTTTAAAAGCATTCATGGTGGCCATAGATTTGGAACGACGAATGAAGGTGGCATGAGGGGATTGTGACTTTGGGTGATCAAGTCATTAATAAGCGTACACGTTTTAGATATCTTGGATCTATTTTTCAGAGTGATGGTGAAATAGATGGGATATTATCAGCATAATCGGCGGCCTTCCGATGAAGTGGAGGAATGCATCGGGCTTGTTATGTGATAGAAATGTACCCCTCAAACTTAAGGGAAAATTATATAAGATGGTAGTGAGGCCTGCAATGCTTTATGGTGCTGAATGTTGGCCATTAAAAGAGAAGCATAATTCTAAGTTAAGTGTGGCAGAGATAAGGATGCTCAGGTGGATGAGTGGCTTTACCCTTAGAGATAAGATATGAAATGAGCATATACGTGAAAAGGTTTAGAAGATAAGATTAGAGAGAGTCGCCTTAGATGGTTTGATCACATAAAACGGCGGCCTTCCGATGAAGTGGAGGAATGCATCGGGCTTGTTATGTGATAGAAATGTACCCCTCAAACTTAAGGGAAAATTATATAAGATGGTAGTGAGGCCTGCAATGCTTTATGGTGCTGAATGTTGGCCATTAAAAGAGAAGCCTAATACTAAGTTAAGTGTGGCAGAGATGAGGATGCTCAGGTGGATGAGTGGCTTTACCCTTAGAGATAAGATACAAAATGAGCATATACGTGAAAAGGTTGGAGTAGCTCCAGTAGAAGATAAGATTAGAGAGAGTCGCCTTAGATGGTTTGATCACATAAAACAGCGGCCTTCCGATGACCCGGTTAGGAGAGTAGAGATATTAGATTTGACTTATGCTAAGAAAGGTAGAGGTAAACCTAAAAAGACATTGTTAGAAAATATTAGGAATGACCTTTCTTTATTAGATTTAAACTAGAATTTGACTTTTAATAGGATACAATGGAGAAAAATGATTCATGTAGCCGACCCCACGTAGTGGGATAAAGGCTTGATGTTGTTGTTGTTGTTGTTGTAAGGCTTCATGTTACAACTCCAATACTGTAATTTTCTTGTGAGATTTCACATTTTGCACATTATTTAATATTCTTTGAAATGCAATTGAAATGCTTGTTATTTATTAAATCAAAGTTGACTAATAAGTGCTGGTTTTTTTTTTTCAGTATTTCATTGCACATCGCATATTAGGTTGCATTAGTGAACCCAAAACCTTAATATTATGTCCTATATCACTTTTACTTCCAATATTCATTCTAATTCTCTTAGAATTCAATGTTCACACCATAAGTGTAAGAATTAAATAATTACGTAACAAAAAAACAAGTAAAATCACTAAACATGGAACATGTATAATTCATGATAACACTCTATTGTCATTTTATAACATAGCATACTTTCGATACTTATCAGCAACTTCAAATGAGCCAATTTGAAATTCCTTATTATAGATTCTGATTTTTTCCATGGATACAGCACAACCAAATCAAAGGAGATCCCATCAAGGGGAGTATTGGACACCACGAAGAAATTAAAAAAAATTATAAATGTACAAAAAAACTTACATGAACATTTCCCATTGCCAACTTATCGAGATTGTTGAAGGTGGAATTGCTGTTGGTCTCCAAAAGAGACTTGTAAGCATGATCAGTTACAGCAATGGGAAGAAGAACTGGAAGTAATAACAAGCCAGACAAGACAAATATTCCCAGAACTGCATCACCAAAAAAATCAAAGTATATAACGAAACATGAACAAGGTATATAGTAAGGTAAGAAGTGCCGAGTCTGTTAACAGTTAACTTACAGTTAAAAAAAAAAAAGACTTTCATTGATGCTTAAAACTAATATGCATGGAATACGTCCTAAAGAAGATATACCAAGTACAGGCAATTTTGTTATGAAATATGAAGCAGGGACCCAAAAGTGACATGTCTTTCATTTTTACTTTACTTTTTTGAAAAAAGATGTTAAAAGTGAGAGATTATTCTGTGTGGACGCCAAACGCAGCTCTACATCCGGATACCAATCAGAATAAACCACGTCAGTCACACCGAGCCACGGTACCGAGCAATACCGACGCTCAGTACCGCAGTACCGAGCCGAGGGCTTAGGCATCCGGACAAGATTCCACTTCCGCACTGAATAATTTTTTGTGAACAGGACCACTCCCAACCCATTACCCATTCCTAGAGACAACATCAACAGCACAACTTTAATCCATTAACCTGTTTCTAAGCATACTTCACAACCAGCATGATGATTACAAGCTAGCTCAAAATGCTTCACAAAATGTTGGTGAGTGCAAAATAAATAAACAGGAATAATAACCATTCGCTTCTGTATGGTTTACCTAATAGATGGTTCAAAACATTCTAATTTTTTCAACATTATTCAGGCTTTGAATTCATTAGGTACATTCTTTGGCCCAGTTTGGATAAGAGTTCGATGCACAGGCAGCACAGTGTAGATTCACCACATATGTAAAGATTTCATGTAACCACGTGTGCCAGCGCTTATAAAACTTGAAGCTTTTCTTATCAGAAAATGTAAAGAGAGTAAGAGACTATGAAGAGCCTCAGCTTCTCAAATGCATCAAACATCATGACTGTAACAATTGGTATTGCGAGGAGTTGCGAAACATATTAATTAAATTATAATATTTTTTGAGCTCCAAAGAGACACCACATATGTATAGATCAGTAGGGCATGTATAACCAGCAAGCATTTTGTTTAAATAATTGAAAAAAAGGGCTTGCTCAATGGATGAAGCCCCTTCAAATGCAAAGTCTGGAGAGAGTTTAGATAGAAAGCAATTTACTTATTAATTTATAAACTGCCAAATATAAAATGATGAGAAATAGCAAATGCCCAATGAAGGGCAAATTATTACGTCCGGTGTTCGGATTCGTCCGGACACCAATCCAGATGCGCCATGTCACCAAAATACACCGGGACCCAGTGTATTCGGGTGACATGGCACGTTTGGATTGGGTGTCTGGACGTCCGGTGATTGGACGTAATAATTTGCCACAATGAAGACTGGAAATAGTGATGGATCATTAAAAAAAAAAATCACATAATCTGCATCCTTAGAATCCATATCAGCACCAAAAAATTAAAAATAGGCCGAGTCTTGAAGTAGTTAAGGTTTTAAAAGGGCCATGGCCCTCAATTCTATTAAATGCACATCAATTGTGCCCGAGAGCCGTTAAGAAAACAAATCAATCACTCCTTTCACAGTTCACGGGAATATGTATAACGGATCATTTATAGAAAAACCAATTTATTTGTCATTAACTACAATGACAAAGATGAAACTGAAATCATTTATCTAAGGCAAGAAAATATCAATACTATGGGGTAGCGAGAGAACCAGTTAGATTCGATGACTCAATTTAGATTCCATTACTCCAGAAGCCGTAAAAAATAACAAGGAAATTTCTGGAAAAAGTGATCATATATCTAAATCCATAAAATCAAATATCTCCATAAAAAAAGTTAAAATAGTGCATAACCTTGAAGATTGAGACTTTAAAGGGTTCCCTAACTTTGTCTTTCAGCTTCACTTTATCTAAAGAGAAATGGGTTTCCCTGTTTTTTTCCTCACTTTTTTGGATGTGGAGAGAAAAGTCCGTATACAAATGACTTTGCCCTCTTAAAGAAAGAAAATCCCAACCACCCAACCACTTTGAAGCAATCAAACCGCCATCAGTTTCAATTTTTTTTTAAAAAGAACTTGTTCAGTCCGAATCAGTTTCACTTTAAGAGGATCCGACTCGATTTGATTGAATTACACCAAATAAGCATTCACCTTTTGAAATCAACACTACTCCTATAATAGGGTGACAGTATTTGTTTCCTCTTCAAAAAACCCACATCATAATCCAAACCCAGAGAAATATTCGAATTCGGCAATCCAAAAACAGAAAGAAAGAAAGTGAGGAAAAAAATGGGGGAAGAGATCTCAAACCAGAGCTTAGGAAAATCAAGTAGACAGCAGCATCAACGCCGGCGGAGGCAACGATGTCGGCCTCAGTAGCGGCAAAGGCCTCTCGAATCCACGCCACAGGACTCCTCGAACGCCGGGCGCCCTCCCATGGCTCAAGCCCCCTCAAGATTCGGCTCGGGAAGTACACCACCTGGTTCCCTGGCTTCCTCGACAGCCATGTGAAGAACAGCATCAACACCACAAAGATCACGAACGACGTCCCCAGCGACGTCAAGAAGGAACTGAAGTCCATCTCTTTCTCTTCTCCTTCGCCTCAGGACTGCTAATGGTACTCTTTAATGACGCGGATAACAGGCGAAGGAAGATAAAGAATGGTGTTTTTGGAAAAGACTTATATAGAGAGAGCGGAACGGATCGGAAAAAGGAAAAGAGCCGATCAGCTTTGAGCAGGGAAGATGGCGTTTGGATGGGGTAAATGGACTGTGAGCGTCGATGTCGATGTGAGGCGAGAGAAGTAGTAAGGAAGAGTGTAGGGTTGAAATGACTTTGGTGCCCAAGAGTAACGGTCCTTTTTTGGCTTTATCATCGACAAAATACGGGCTCGCAGTGAATGACTATTTTGCCCTCGGGTATCCTAATTCATTTAAAAAAATGGTTCAGAAAAGAGTTCAATGATCTTAGGTATTCGATTTGAAATCCTAATAAAAGGATGTGGGGGCAATTTGAAATTTTTGACTATTAACTAAGAATTCATCCAGGATAATTTTTGTATTGCTTGTTAAAACAAAATTTTAGTATAAAAAAAAATTAATAATTTTGTGTATTAAAATTTTGTTTTAAAATTCAATAAAAAAGTTGTCCCAAACTAAGTCTAAGATCTCTTTGATTCTAGTCTTGTATGTGGGCTTGGTTTGGGACGGCGTTCTTACTGCTTCTTAAAGTTACTTTTTAATATAAAAATTTTAATTTTGTACTAAAAAGTTGTTTTAATAAACAATGAGAAAGTCGTCTCAAACAAAGCCTTAATTGTCCTAAATGTCCAAAAAAAAAAGCTTTCATTTAGTCATATGAATTGGTTGATGAATTTGCTAACCTAATGGAACTGATTCAAATTACAGATAGAACTAAAATTTAGAGTAATAATAATATTACTTCGCTAAGTAAGAACATATGGACCATAATTAATAGAAACTTAAAATGCGAAATAGATTATTCGTAATTTATTTAATAACAATTTGATATTTTGGTTTAACCATTTTTTTGCACATCAAATAAAAAATCAAAATCCAAATAACCTTTAATCAAAAACTAAAAAACTAAAAAGTGAATAGTCATTTTATAAATTGAATCAAACCTATCAAATATGCTAGGTTTGATTTTTTGTTTAAACTAACTAATGCACACCACCCCTACCCTTAAGTATTACCATGGTAGCATAGAGGAATTTATGCAAAGTATATTATAGCAAGTATAAGTAGATCAATAATTCATAGATTTAATAAAAAAAATTTTTAAAAAAGGTAGAAGATTTTGCTTAGTTGGTTCTCAAACTCGCAATAATGGTGAATGATTAAATAACTTTCTCCAGCTTATAAATGGAAGAGTATTTGGTTTTATCATATATAAGCATATCATCAACATATAACATGACAAGTGGATGTAGAAACTCATACTCAATTCTTGAGGAGAAAACAGAGAAGGAACGGAGAAGAAGAAACAGTGAAAGAGAACTTTATTTCCTATCTTACCTCCTGTCATTACAGAGCTACTAATTATATATACTAGCTGAGGCTAGGCATTACACGTGTACACCAGTAATTGGAGAACAAGAAGAGAATTAAGTAATACATGATTTGGTTATTCTAACAGTGGAGACATTATTGTGGATGATTGAATTATCATTTTCTTAAGATTCAATCATATAAGATATATGTCATCATAAAAGTGAAGAGAATGAAGATAAAATGATACCCTAATCACAACTAATCATAAGCCTTGAAATACAATTTTTGCTTCCATTAGTAATAAAAGAAAATAGAACATCCTCAATGCATCCTTTAACCCAATCAAAGAAGATAGAAGGGATAACTTTTGAATTATTAAGAGTTCGAATATTAACACAATTGAAAGCCTTATATAAATACAATTTAGCACAAACACATTAAAAAAAAAAGTTAGAGGAGTTAAAGCCACAACGGATCTCTGAAGTAGGAAAATTTTATCTATAATGTCCTGGTCATTAATGAAAATAGATTGAGCACAACTGGTTATTAATGTTGTCTAATTCAATTTGCGTCCAAAGAAGTAACCTATATAATTATCATTCGCACCTCCAAGGAATGAGAAGATCTTCATCAAATGAATTAGATTTAAGGAGCTAAAAAATAATCCTATGTTGAAGCTTGAGAGAAGATGAGATTTGACAATAAAAGAGTTGTACTATCTATCCCTTTCAAGTGCAAGTTTAGCATACCTTAGTTTATTACAAAAGATAAATATAGTGTCCAAGAATTAATCCAAACCCTTAATATTTTTTTTCAAATGAAATGATTATTAAGTTGTAAAGTACCCCAATTTGACTAAGATGAGAGAATAATTATAAGAAAGAGGGGGGTCATCATGTAATAAGTGAGAGAAAGTTATCCCATCCGTGAGGAATTACAAAATATCTATAAAAAGATACGAAATTGGGTTGTTAAGTTCATGATTAAACCAATTGTAGGAAAGACTTTCATTAGGAATTTCTATTAGGAAAATGTTGAACATATAATTGTTAAATCCTAGAAGTTTATTGTATGAAGTAGGCCTATCTCTTATTTTTTCTTAGCATATCTAATACTATTCAAATCACCAAGGAAAATATAGGGGGCAACCAAATATGTGATAGCTTTCCAAAGCACTTTCCTCTCTAAAGCATCATTTTCACCCTAAATGAAAGTAATAAAAATTAAAGAGAAGGACATTGCTCATGGTAGCCATTAATAAACTAGGAATGAACCATCATGGGAATAAAATTGACCTAGTTATTATTTCACTTAATCCAAATTCCTCCACCATAGAAATGGAAATTACTACAATTGTTTTCATTATGAAAAAGATTAACTTCCTCCTATAGAAGGGATTTAGAGAGTGCCAAAGAGAGATCTTGCTTTTAAGAAAGCCATTGATATGAACAATCACTTTAATGCACACATTTGCTTGCAATGTCGACATATTTTATTATTTATGAGGATGATATACACCATCGATACAAATGCCTATATTCAATTATTTTATCATTCGCCATCACTAATATTGTGATGCATACCATCATTTATATGATCGAAACACATCATCATCACAAACGTCAAAGTTTGCTTGCTTCTTCGCACACCATTCCCATTAACATTGATGCACACACTAGTCTATAATGTTGATGCATGCAATCAACACAAATGTCGACGACTGCCAACTTTATTGCCCGTTGTCACCAACAACATTGACTCATGTCATCTCCTATATATAAGGCTAAGACACCCCAGCAAAAGCAATGCTGATGCCCACCGTCTTTATCATCCACCAACATTAGCAATGTTAGCATAAGTTATATCCATTATACAATAAGGTACATCAAAGCAAAAAAAAAAAAAGTTTGATGCGCACCATTGATATTAACTCAAACTCTTAACATTAACACCAATATTTATATTAGACTTTGTGGTCTCTCATTTCATCTAAAAAAATAAATAAACAAATAAAAATAAAAATAAAAAATAACAAATTAAATTGTAAATGATCTATTGAAAATAAATCCAATGTCTCGATGCTCATATGGCTTCCACTATGAAATTTATCATCTATATTTTACGTTAACTATATTGTATCAATGCGTTATTCAATTATAGAGAATGACATCATTTAGAACTTGCAGCGTATGTTATTGGAATCATTTCAATTGAGTTGGGTCTTGTGATTTTTCTATTTTTGGGCATCTACATAAAATTTTTATCTCCAATATGCTGCTCTCAATTTATCATATATATATATATATATATGTGTGTGTGTGTGTGTGTGTGTGTGTGTGTGTGTGTGTATCAAATCATCATACAATTCTAAGATGATAAATCTTTTTTTACTCTAATATTGTAAAATTTTTAATACGCTATATTAATACATGATACATAAAAAAATTGCCTTGATCGAGCACAAATCTCGAGGCATATTCAAGTTAAAAACTTTTAAAATTAAATTCATGATCATATGAACTTCAATTTCAACAAACTTCTAGTCAAATTGAGCAATTCAGTGAGACAAACTCAACGACACCAAAATTGGTTCAATCCGAGCTCAAATGGGACAAAATCAAGGGACTAAAACATATTTGAAAGCTTAAAAGTATTAATTGGATATATAAATGATATTCATATATAACATGCTTATTGTCAAATTGACAAGCTCAATAAGACAAATCTAATTATCCCAATATCACTTAATTCTGACATCATTATGACACTTAAATGCTTGATGAATGCTTCTTGATTGAGGGAATCAATATGGGTCGTCTGATGGAACACTCCAAAATTTCTCATGATTTTCTTCATATTTATGAGGTTTGTCATTATCAAAATCTATAAATAGACTCACACTCTCTACATAAAGGGTCCACTTGGACTGGAGATTGGAGAGAGCTATGAGGTTTCAAGGAACTTAGAATTCCACCCAAGCACCACCGCTAACGAACTCCTGCCAACTGTTGTTGGACCATCGCACATTTGCCGACCGTTACCAGATAGAGCATCGCCAGTCTATCGACCACCACTAGACCACTACTATCTGCCAACTAGGATCCATCCGACCACCATCGCCCACCAACTACGATTCCTCCAAACACCGTCGCTTGCCAGCTATGATTCTTCCAGCCACTGTCACGATTTGGGTTAAATTCAGTCCGATTTGCGGAAGTGCCAACGTGGGGATCATGAACTACCGGAGCAGACCATACTACAGAAGGTTCACGAGCACGTTTACAGTGGGACGAGCCGAGCTCGAGATTTGGCTCGCTAGTCGAGCTCGGGTTATGTTTGACTCAAGCTCGACTCGACTCGTTTACACCCCTATGTCCTATCGACCGAACAACTCTCATATCACTATAATCTTCCAGCTCTCAGCATATAATATGCTCTATATTTTCTATATTGAGCCAATGCCTCCTCCCGTGGAAATGCATTATTTGTAATCAAGAACAAACATTAGTGGATTCATTTCAACTAAGCCAATCCCTACGGTTTTCCCATTTTCAACATTTTTCACGTAAAAATTTTGGTGCATGTTATGACTCTTGCACCTTCTCGCTTAAGTGTATGTGTGTTATATCTTCGTACAAAGCTTGAACATCAAGCTCTATATCTCTCTATCGCCACGAATGTTTCAAGATGCAACAATATTTATAATAACAATTTTTATATTTAGATTCAGCCTAAATTCAATAATTGAGTTTTTTATCTTTTAGTTTTTGATCCATCATCTGATTATAGTTTTA